GTTCATGAGTGGGAGACAAACAGAGGAAAAACTGCAAGAGGAGAGTGGGAGTTAATTAAACCGCCAGACACCTCTCTGAATATCTCCAGCGCTGTTTTCAAACAGCTTCCCAACGCCCAGGAGTAAAAGAGGATGAGGAGGTGAAACAGTAGAGAGAAATGAGTTGGAGGGCAGCAAACGCAGCACTATTTCAACACATTCGTCTGACGAGGCAGGCTGAAGCTGCAAATTGCTTTTAGCACTCAATTTCTCACCGTAATTAAAAGCAGGGAGAGCTTCAGTTACAGGCTGGCTCACTTTCAGCGTCTGCCCTGCATGACGAAAGTGGGACAATGATGGGGTGGGCGTCTCTCTGCTGAACCAGAGCGGCGCTGAATCTGGTCAAACGCCGAGGATGGACCCGGTTGGAGGGCTCGTCGTCCTTTTTTCCACTTTGTGACGGATAAAAGTCGTTTCGGCGCCTCGTTTCGGTTTTCTCACAGCTTCGGCGGCCGGTTGGACGGCTGGTTAATTAAAGTCTTAAATCATCTGTCTGAATGCGGCCTTTAATATATGACTCCGTCTTTTGTCTGCATGGATCGCTCCTGGCAAATGTTTCCATGCCACTGCTCCAAATGAATACAGCGGGAGGTATTTCCATTCACACTAATGTTTCACTTAATCCTCCCCTACAATAACAGGTTCATTTAATATAACATGCGTTTTGGAGCTCTTATCTGCTGTTTGTTGTGTGCAGCATTAAAGCCGTCACACAACTGACTGCGTGCATATTTGAGGTTACTGCCGTCCTTGTGATTATTATTTTGAAAAGTAAAAGTTAAGACAGGGATGTGTGCTCAGCAAACATAACAGCCTGTTTGCAAAGACAGACTGTTTACACATCTTTGGATTTTTTATGGGACTTAGATGGCATTAAAAGTGTTTGTTTCTGGAAATTACAACAGAATTGGGCCTTTAGGTGCAGTATTTTTATAAAACAAAGAAAACTGGTTGTATATATTTTAATGAAGCCAACTTTTTCTAAACATCTCGGCTCTGTTTACGTTCATCTCAAGGTATTAGAATATGATCTAGAAAATAATTTGTTACAGTAATTCAACATAAAATAGAGAAACTCATCACACAGCTCCAGCTTACTCACATTTATTATATGTCTAAGTTTTATTTCTCTTCATAAAATGTTTGGCTGATAAAACCTCCAATGATACTTTTCAGATAATTATAACATAAGTTAAAAAATATATATATTCTTAAAGCAAACATGGCAATGACAGTCATCAGTGACACACTCCACATTGAGGGTAAGCTACAAAGAGCCAGTGATCATTGTGTGCTGTATCGATGCATGGAAGTGGAAAGTTGAGTGGAAGGAAAACGTGCTGTTCTCAGGATACATCCCAGGTCTCCTGTTTGACTCTGCCAACCTGGTGTCTTCATAAAGTCCATCCAAACTCATTATGAGTGTCTTTGCTTCTACTGCCTGTGTAACTTCTGACATGTTTGTGTTGTTAAATTCGAGTGTTAACAGGTTGACGTTGCTTAAGCCACGTCTTCATGTAGCGTCTGCAGAGTGTGGTTCTACTTTGTGCTTATTTAAAAAGCCAACATTGCAAACTGCTAATGTTAAACCTCCAAAACGATGTGGGGATTTTAAAATTCCCTCGCACAAGTTCACTAAAGATTCATGTTCTTAATTCAACATAAATGCTGAATGTCTTCAGTAGTGCAGCTGGTAGCTCTGCTATAATTTTTCCTTTGCAAAAATGGCGGCCATTTTGAATTTTCAGTGGCAAACCTCTGGGAACATCTGCACCAAGTTATTCTGACACCAAGTGAATATTTAACAATGTGAATTTAACAAAAGTGATGGGTGTCAACCTTTTAACACTTTCACACTTTTATTTTAACACCAGCTGGTGTGGACTCACATAGGCCCAGTGTTAATGTAACAGTGACATTCCTACTTCTGTTTTGTCTCAATTCCCACTATGTTTGGTTAGTTGGACCAGCATCAAATAGTCTCAGAAACATGTAAAGATGAAATCTTTGTTCCTAGAAAGGAGCCCAACAATGACAGGTACAGGAAACACGTCATGCTCATGCACTGAAGAAAACTCTGCAGAGGTTTAGCAGGAGGAACGCCGCCGCCGCCGCCGCCTGTCCCTTGAGTCGTCATCATGAATACGGCGAAGGGCCCACAGGCACCGTAACGTGCAAAAAGCAGTAGAGAAATGGTTGGACTGCTGCAAAGACAGAAAATCAAAGACACTAAAAAGCGCAGGAGCCCAACAACACAAGATAACAGCTGAGAGAAAAAGGAGGAATCTGACAGGAAACAAAGAAAACCAGGGTTTGTTCCTAATGAGGATGGATCACAACTGACACACAGGGAGTGTGATTACCAGGTATGTGGGGAGGAGCAGGCGGAAAAACTAACAAGGAGCCAAAAAAGGGTAAAAAAAAAGCTGCTATAAACAGAAAATTTAAAAATGTGAACACCTTCGTAAAACACCAGGAAATCACAACAAAGGAATCCACAAACCCAGCAGCGTCTGCGCTGCTTATTGAGTCTCCAGTAATGAGACAGATTAAATCCAGGAGCTGATCAGGATGGATATTACTGTAAAACACTGAAAAAATGTTTCCAAACAAGCATAAACGCCCACATGCTCATTTGTTCTTCATTTTTACCATGAAATTTCAGGATGACAGACGTTTTTCAAAATGGCATAAAATATTGCTAACATTCACAACCTGAGGAACTTTAAGTCACACTGCATGTTTTTGACTTTAGTTCTCATATCCATTCAGCATTAAAGTGATAATATGTAGAAATTTACAGGCTGAGCAACAGCTGTCTTCATGTTAGCATTAGCTTATGCTAGTTTTTATGTGTAGCTTTAGATTCCTGTTAGCTAGCTGTGCTCAACACTAACCTCTTGTTTTGGTACAAACATATAATCTCCATTAGTATCATGATGGAGGCTAATATCAGTTCCTGGTCTTTCTGAGCCGATTCCTCTTTACTCTGATTCATCTTTAAAGAGAAACCGTCCAGCTGAGGCTTTGGTAGAAACCTCATCTGATTTTTAAGCTAAAGGTTAATGTGCTTACAGAAAAAACAAAATCAGACCTTTTAATATTGATTAATGTAATATTTTGTGACTAGTTGATGTTTTGTCTGCCTTTTGTGACACGTTTTCGGCCTGTGTGGAAGTTTTGCCCTGAGCCAGTAAAGTGGATTCTGTGAACAGCAGCTTGTTAGCTTTGACTTGTTTACAGCCAACAGACAGGGCTAGAATTACCAGGTTTTTCTCACATAAACTTTCTTGCTCTCTTGATCTCGTATCCAAATCCCTATTATGAAACCTTAGAAAGTAGTTATAAAGAGCTCAGATCCGTTTCTCAGTTGTTATTGTATTTTTAAGCCTCTAATCAACTCTTAATCAAATCAACACAGAGCCTGACACTGAGCATCATAAGAGGGGAGGAATGTTTCCCATCAGCAGGAACGAGATGAACAACGTCAGAGAAAAACTTCCTAATCCAGATTAGCTAAACGATCGGTCTGCTGATGTGGGACGTGGCGTTCCGGGTTCAGGAGAGTCGGCCTCATTCTGATGGGCCAAGCTGACATTCCCTCTTTGTGCAGACTGTTGAGGAGAGACCTACAAATTACTCCTTGTTAGCGGAGGCCGGCATGGAAACCCGATGAGGGGAAATTAGACGTCACATCTGCCCTCGTTTTGGGCCAAACGTGCCTAAAACCTTAATTCTCCGGTTTACAGGTCGACTCAAGGCTTCAAAGTTGGAGTGAGAGGAAACAAAACGGCTGAATGTGCCGTTGTGGAGCAGAACAAACGGGCATGAGCGCGTGTGTGTTTGCACTGTGCTGCCTCCTGCCAGATGTCACTCAGCTGTCAGCGATCAGCGAGTTTCACAGCTTCAGTGGAAGTGGAAGGGAAACATTCCTCTCATGCACTTAGCTAATCACGCTGTTTGTTCTTGCTCCATTTTCGGAGAAAGAGAAAATTGGACAATCAAACTCTTTAAACCGCTGACCTTACAGGCTTTTCTTCTGGTTGGTGGAAGAGGTGAGCCTGAGGTTCGCAGCTGAAGGCTCGTTTCCTGGCTGAAGCTCGTTCTGATGGCTGCAGCAAACCAGAGGAAAGCTGCTGACTTGACAGAAAATCAGCTGCAGCCCAACGAGGCTTCAGTTCCAGGCTTAGTGAGGAGATCACGTTTGTTGCACTGCCAGGTTTTAGTCTACGACTTGTCAGGTAAATTGCAGGGTGCAATTTGTTTTATATAAAGTCCTTAAAGTTGGAGTCAGAATAATAATTAGGATATTAAACAGGAATCTGGGTTATAGGAGCTTGGCCTGCGTTAGCGGGAACATCCTCCAGGTAAGAGCTGCCCTTTGACCCTCATTCTGCTGTGTGACCCCTAACAGAGTGATTTCCCTGCCCAGGTTACCAGGCCGTATCGATAGGTGCACTGGGACCAGGATGGACCAGGAAAACGGACCAATTAAAACCTTCAGTTTAGTTTATTCTTCACAGCAAACTGAAGCAGGATGTCAGGAACCCAGGAATCTCTGTTTGAGGTTAAATGAGCAGATCCAGACGGCACTTTATAATGAAATCAGTAAATCCCATTCGGACGCTGAAGGTGGACAATAAATAAATGTTACCATGTAACATCCAGCTGTTATTATCATAAATGCATTTATTGTTTGTTTGTTGCTCAGTTTTGTTTTCTCTCTTTCTGCAGGTTTAGAGGCGACTTCAAGGCGTTGATTTATGTTTTTTTAATCTTCTTTCTCTTTAAACCTTCTCTACACATTTCTCTCTTTCTTCTCTCCTTTCTTTTTCATCTTTGTGTCCGTTACATTTGAACTAAACCCAAAGCAACTTCTAATAAAGTTTCCTTATTCAGCTCTGGAAAGATGAAGAGACCTCTGCAAAATGATCAGTTTCTCTGATTTTACACTTTATAGGTTTATGTTTGAGTGAAATGAACTTTGTTCTTTTATTCTGTGAACTTCTGACAACATGTCTCTGAGATTCCAAGCCAAAATGTTGTATTTATTTGCAGAAAATGAGAAATGATCCAAATAGCACCAAAGATGCAGAGCTTTCAGACCTCAAATGATGTAAAGAAAACAAGTTCATGTAGAAACAACAACATTAACGTTTTAACTCAGGAAGATGTTTGGTGGAATAACTGGGAAGTTTTAATGGGTTCAGTGCAGTGAGCTCTTCATTTTTACCAAGGCTTTATATGTCGTGGAAGCTGTAATGCTCCACTTGAGAAAGTAAATCTGTTGACAGAGTAACAAACAGGATCAGACAAGTTAAGAAAAGAAATGCTGAGAACGGCTGGACTGTGAGACGGGAGCAGAGCTGCCAATTATGTGGCAGAAGCTTTTACATCCCACCTGCAGTAAAAGTCTTATTGCTTCTTTTGTTTGTTTGTAGTTTTTCAGTCCTGCCACTTTCTAGTCTCACTTTACCAGGAAGGATCCTGAGGATGATGACGATGAAGGACTAGTGCCAAACACATTGTGGAAACTGAGGCGTTAAATGGACACAGCTGGAGCTGATGGACGTGTAACTGGAGGAACGGGAACAGAAACCAAAGTAAGTAAAGATGGAGGCCGAGTTTTAGGAGCTGAGAGATGGGTTGGTTTGGCAGAGCGGAGCGCTCACCCCGCCCTGCCCAGCAGAACCATTAAAATATCCACCGTGGGAAACAAACTTCCAGTTCTTTTCATCCGGTTAGCAATGCGTAGCAATGCCGGCCTCAAAACCGCTTCTGGTGTTATTACCTGAGATTGGGAACGGTGGTGAAAAGGAAGCTTTTATGCATGTTGCATAAAGTCAATATAAAGGATGTGAATGTTAGCATACGAGGCTAACAGCCCTAGAAACATGGTCATGTTTATGATTGAACACGTTTGATGCTTCGAGTTCGATGTTTGTGCACGTTGAAGTCAGACGAGTCAAAGTGGCTCCAGGCGAAGCTGCTTGGCCTTCATGTCCCCCAAACTCTGCCATCGTCTCCTGCAGATTTCATCTAAATAAAAACCTTTATTTAACGTTTGCTTAACGTTTACTTAATGTTTACTTAACGTGACTCAGCGTTTTTGGTGGACGGATTCGGATAGCTCAAACACGGGGAAATATTTTCAAATAGTAAAAGTTATAACTTACTCAACATTCCAACTTCCTCACTGATCCTCTTCCAATCGAGGTTTTTCTATTCCTGTCTGAAGTCATAACCTGATTGGTCGTAGATTATAGGATGAGAGAGACGATTAGTTTATCCTCCATAGTTTATTTTTTCAGCGATCATGTCGGAAAACGCACCACTGCATCCTGTCTGGAAGTTCAGATTTTCTAACTCCGACGTCGGACGTGTTGGACGTGTTGGACATGTGGGACGTGTTGGACGTGTTGGACATGTGGGACGTGTTGGATATGTTGGACATGTTGGACGTGTTGGATAAGTATCAAACGCTCAAAACGCTTCAAATCGCGCCCTGAAAACCTTGAAAACCTGCTTGGTGTGAATGCTCCGTTTCTCCTGTAATATTAATATACATATTATTATTATTATTATTATTATTATTATTATTATTATTATTATTATTATTATTATTATTATTATTAATATCAATACACATATTTCCTTCCTTCATTTTCCCAAATTCAGCATCAAACAAATCATCTGTCCAAGCTGGATCTCTGTATCCGGCTTGTTTTTACGGTCTGTCGCTGCCTTGTTGATCCCTTGTGCGTATTTCTGAGTGAACACCGCCGCGACTACCAGGCTGCTACGTCTTTTACGCTCCACTAACTACCAGGGGAGCCAGCAGCTCCTCCTGTTTTAAGGTTAAAGGAATAAAAAGTATGTCAGTGTGAATGTTGGACCTGTCTGGGGTCCTCTGAGAAAAGTTTCTAAATTTATTCCCTGATCCGTTTATCCTCCATAAACGGGATTCCTGGTGTTAAAAACCTACAGGGCAACATTTCCAGCTTTCACTGTTGAATCCTTTAACACTTGAGGGATGGAGGAAAACTTCTGACCCAAACAAGCTGCTCTCCCCTCTGAAGACGCTCCTCCACCCGGCTCACCGTTCCTAAGGAAATAAATACCATCTGCTGCCGACTGTCTGAGACCTTTCACCCGCCAAATAAGCAGGGGAACGGTGGCATGTCAAGTCTCCGCCGTGCCTCTGTGAACTCTGTGCAAACACATCCTCACAATAAACAGCCTCAGCTTGACATCCTCACACATTAGATAGCATCTCTGGGCTTTTATGTCTGTGGCATCTGTCTTTGTTCCTCTTGATGCTGAGACATACAGGAGATACCGTCGGTGTCTGACGCTGTTTGTCGCTGTTTGCAAGCCGGAGCGCTTTGATGAACTGATAGCAGCCGTTTTCTTTCTGCTGCGGATTAACCAGCGAACGCGTTTCAGGTCTGGGCGCCTCGGTGTTTGTTTAAAAGACACTAGAAATTCATCCAAGAGTCTCTGGCTGCAGTGGTGGAACCTACAGCCTGAGCAGAGTTTGCTTTGAACAAGGTGAGAAGTCCCAGGTTACCAAGACGTTTTACGTAAGATAAAGACACTGATGCTGCAAAATACGTTCCACAAATACGCAGCTTAATCCAAATGGATTTTACTGCTGAGCTCCAAAATCCTGTTTCTGTCCTGATCTTTAGTTTCAGACAGACAACGGCAGCTCGTTCAAATGAGTTAGATTGTTACTGACATTTTATGGAAATAAATTTAAAATATCATCACCTTCCTAAAATAATGTAACTTTTTACCAAAAGTTATTTTGGCAAAACAAACAAACAAAAAACAAAAGACAAGACAAGACAACTCCTCCTCCCCACATTTTCATTTCCAAAAGTTGTTTTAGGAAAAAGAAAAAAATTAAATTAAAATATAATAAAATAAAAATAAATCCCCCCCATTTTCTTTTCAAAAGGTGTTTTAGGGAAAAAAAAGAAAAAAAAAAGACTTAGGCCATTATTTTAGGAAGGTGACAAAATAAAATAAACTTGATTTAATATCCATCCATCCATCCATCCATCCATCCATCCATCCATCCATCCATCCATCCATCCATCCATCCATCCATCCATCCATCCATCCATCCAAAAGCAATAAAAACTGGAGACTTTTTGGGTTTCTGCCTCTTAAAGTGACTCTCAGCTCCACATCATGATGTTCGCTGGTCGCTCTGGACTCTGAAGCGGATTCGTCCCGTTAAACCCAGACATTTGGCTCCATGTGATCCTGAAGGTAAAAACTCCGGTCACATCAAAAGAGGAGCGGAGCGTCCAGGAGTCCGACCGGGGATTCAAACCGTCAGAACCGTCCAGAACATTCAACATGAGCAGCTCAGGCAGAACAAGCAAGTTCATCTGGAAAGCCAAACATAACAGTTTAGAAGAAGCTTCCAGAACCTCCCTCAGGTCCGACAGCGGCCCGGTGCAATCAGAAGGATTTTCACAGGTTTGATTACCTGAAAGATGTGAAATGAGGAAATCTACAAAATACAGACTGAGAAAAAGTAGAATCTATCGCTTGTTAATAACAGTAATGTGTGTTAATGATGTGATCACCTGCGATTCTTGATAATAATAATGAAAAAGATATTTACATGTGCACTGAGTTTATTATTCACAAAGTGAAATATGAGCAGATTTCATGAAAACAGCAAACATAATCTGGATTATATGCCAGATTGACTCAGGTCCCAGCTCGGCTGATTGATCACGGTTCTGCCTGATGTCATTACAACAACATCAGAGCGACTCGGCCCAATCAGCTCTCATTGTCTCCTTAATTAAGCCTTTTTTCAAATACATGATTTCCAATCAGCTGCACAGAAGCTGGAGGTGAAAAACCTGCAGAGTCACAATGGAGGGCATGATGTCAACATGACTTTCTGGAACTGAACTCCTAAAACTCTGAGGATGTTTCATTTACATGCATAAAAAGCATTTTATTAAAGTAAATCACTGTCTTACTACTATAAACACTAGAACAGCAAAAGAAGGATGAGATGGAAGAACAGAGTTGATTAAACCAAAACATTCGACTTAAAGTTGGTGTCAAATATTCTGGACAATGAATTTTAAAACATGCATGAAAACCTACTGCAGATTTTTATGAGCTGTGCTTTTTCCCTTGTATTTAGTTCTTAAATAAATAAAAAATAAAAGTTTTGCAAAAATAGAACGTTAATATTTGTGGACTACTATGTCAAAAAACTCCGTTTCCATCTTAACTACAATAAAATAGATATAAACTAATCCTGGTACTTTTAGTGTTATTTAGTTGTGGAAATGTAATGCAAATAGTTCTTTAAAGTACAAACAGACAAAACCTGCATTTGTTATTAAATCTGTTGTCAAAAACATAAATTGCTTAATTAACCAGATCCCAGGTCTGTAAGCAGGTGAGACAAGATTAATAAATAAAACTATTCCACATCTAAGCGTCACTAACTGTCAGACATGGTGGTGGCAGAATCATGCTGAGGGTTTGTTTCACTGCCAGAGCTGAAGATATGTTGCATTTTTCAACTTCACCCCAAATCAGCTGCTAAACTGTTGAAACTTAACTGGATCCTCCAACAGGACAGTCGCTGAGCTTCCATTGAGCACATGATGGATTAAATTGGAAAAATAAAAATTGATTTGCTTACTGCCGATAACATAGGCTGCATCAAAGTTAGTGTCCATCTGAAAAGTGCAATGGAAACACTTTCTTCTCATCACAACCGAACGTTTCTACTGGCAGAAACGACAAAGAAGGCAAACAGGAAGTGGTAGGAGGAGGATGGTTTTTAATGATTCACGGCATGAATAAACTTATTTATGTGTGATTTTCATTGAATTTATTAATTAAATTGACATTATCTGACTTTCTACAAAGTTTTGCGGACATTTCTAATGAAAACGCAGCGATCAGTCACACTTAGCCAAACTGGCTGTGGATAAAAGGCTAAAAAACTGAACCTTGTTGAAAATGTAATAATTATTTTCTTCCAATCAACTGAAATTAACGCTGCTATTTTTGATAAGAGCCACAAAAAGTTTGATGATGAATTTTAATGGGAAAGTTTCAAAAAGTCTCCCGGATCCAGTCAGTCAGGTTAATTTCTGATGAACTGCCCCTGCTTGGCTCTGCATGGCGCCGAATGAAGCTACTAGCATAAAACACTCTGCTAACTCAACCTGCTGCACGATGGCTCTGATGATAAAGCTGGAAATGCCTCTGGGTGCCAGGGCCTCTGGGCGTCAGATCATGCATAGTCATGGCTCAACATGCTGATTTACGCCGGCGGTGGAGTCAGTCAGGAAGCATCTGTACTACTGGGCTGCATTTCCCTGACTTGGCCTTGAAATCTAATCTATTGCAATCGTCCCTGGAGATGCAAACGAACACGAGTAAATTACAGAGAAAGAAAAAAAGCTCCGGACTGCATAAATCCACCTAAACAAGGAGGCGGATGAGAGCAGGATGGAAACCAAAGACAAGTGTCTGTTCAGTTTTAGCGAAGCTCATTTATCACAATCACAGCTTCAGCCGAGCGCTTCGGGAACGTTCGCTGTGCATGTGTGTTTGTGAATATTCAGCCGAGTAAATCAGGAAAAGACGCAGCAATCCCTGAGAGAGCACAAGGTGTTTTATTCATTATTATTTCCATAGTTGTGCTCTGCGCCTCGCCGCCACAGAAACACTTGCTTCAGCGACTCCTGCATGTGTATACATCCGTTTACATCCTGCGAGGCTTTCACCGAACTGCAGCATTACAGCTAATAAGCCTCTTACACTGAATTCTGTGGCCTTGTTCGGTGTTAAGAGCGGCTGCGTGTGTGAGCTCTCACAGCCGTCCTTGCTGCTGCTCAGTTGTACTGCAGCACTTCACAGGCAGATGATCTGACAGGAATACACAGCAGCCGGCCGTTAGCTGCTTTAATTCCCCGACTCGTTTCATCAGCAGGACCAGAGACCTCAGAGCTGCAGCCTGCGACTTGGAGCTGCTTCCTCCAGACCTTCAATTATTTACAAAGCCTTGGAGTATTTCTTCCTTTTGGAGGGAGATTTATGTAATCATTGTTAGAAGGAGGGCAGGGAAAACGGTTTCTCTCTCTGTGAATGTCTAGGTGTGTCCACCAATCCACCCGACGTCTTCCCTTCATGGAACAAGGAGAAACTCAGGTTTCCTGTCACCTTGCAGCCTTTCTGGCTGCTCTCAGCAGGTTTTCCAGGCCATAACATAAAACTAATGACCAGGACTGAAGTCTGGGTGCAGTGATGGAGTCTAGTTAACAACTTACTGCTGTAAGTTTATCTTTCACAAACTCATATTTAGCTTCAAAATCTAAAACTGGCAACATTTATTTGACTTGATAATAGACAAAGAAATGAGACTCAAATGTTTTACAGTGTTTTAATGACAAAACACTTTGAGCTGCCTTGTTGCTGAAATGTGATTGATTGATTGACATGCGATTTTTATTGTTTCTTATTGAATGAAAACACCAAATTTGTCTAATTGTGTTTTTTCAACATTATACTAAAGTTTTAGACTCATTTCTATTGGAAACTCAGCCAGTGTCTTTGTCCGCCTGTCCGTCCGTTTGTCCGTCTTCTGCTCCGTTCTGCTGTCACTTCTGAACACCCAGATACTCACACTGCAACCTGAGGCAGAGGCTGACCTTTGACCCAGGCGTTTCAGAACCTCAGACAGAGAGGAGATAAATGACCGGAAATAACTCTACAGCTTTAAAGGAAAATATTGAATAAATCTGCTGTTCAGCCGTCGCCTAATTTTAGCTCCATTTGGGAAACGGATTATCGTTCCAACTCATCTCCCTGTGATCAGGCGGCTTGATAAGGAAGGTCACTTTGTTCTATTAACTTTATTAAAAGTCGGCTCTAAAGACTCTTGTGCTAATCTGCTCGTTTCAGTGTCTTTGATGGTGAAATGGTTAAAACATGACGCGTTCCCACCAGCCGTTCAACGCTCCGACTCTCGGAAGCTGCATCCGACGCTCCCTATAAATCCCAGAATACAGTCGGATGCTGCGATAAACTTCCACGTGGGGACGTGATAAACGGGCGCTGCAGTCCGGCAGGGTTCTGCTTCTGAGCTCAGAGGGAACATCTGAAAATTACATCTTTCAGAGCCTGGAAGGGTTGAGTTACGTCTGCCAGGCAGAGAGCAGGTCAGAGCTACGGCCCGGTAGCAGCAGGTCAGAGCTACGATCCGGTAGCAGCGGGCCAGAGCTACGATCCGGTAGCAGCGGGTCAGAGCTACGGCCCGGTAACAGGTCAGAGCTACGGCCCGGTAACAGGTCAGAGCTACGGCCCGGTAGCAGCCGGCCGCCGCAGACACAGGGAGGACGGCTCGAGGTTGGGACAGAGCACCAAACTACCGCTGCAGGGACTTTTTATTTATATGCATGTAAAAAGGAAACAAGCAGAACTACAAAAGCACAAAATAACAAATAATAGAAAAATGTCTGAAATATATGAACCAGTCAAGTTTTCATTACAAACCCAAAGCAGGTGGAAGTTCTTCCCACATATAAAATGTTAAAATGTCATAATTAATGTGCATAAACCTTTACTGTAAAAAAGATAAAAACCTAAATCTAACAGTGACAGTGATTCCTCTGCACTGGCCTTTATTACCTCTCTTTGTTTTTGTCCAAGCTGTTGACTCCGAGTCATTTTTCCTTCTTCTGATGAATCCAAACCAACTGCAGGTAAAAACCCAGATTGTTGCAGAATGAGTAAGAGACAATAATATTTTTCAAAAACAAGCAGCTTTAATCATTACAAGGCAGGAAACGTCCCGAGTTCGTCATCGGCTCCCAGCCGGCGCTTTTCCTCTCCGCACAATGAAGAGGCGCTGCCATCACTGTTGCTCTCTCTAATTTAATCCATCTGTGTCATCATCCTCTTCCCCATGCAGGACATAATCTGGGCTAAATGCAACTATAATCCAATTAATCTGTCATAGCACAGTCCCATTGATGGTATTTTTGCTTTCTACTCACACTTCCCATTTCCCTCCTGGCTACATAATGAGGCAGGATAACTCGATTTGGATATCGGCGAGCGTTAATGAAAGACAGTCAAAGACGGGCGACGAATGAAGAAAAGTTCAGAGTGGAAGTCTCACAAACTACAAAATTAAGTTTTATTTGCTGCTCAGTAAAGCTAAAGAACCACATAATCATATTTAAAATAAGCAAATTCATATATTTTTAAAAAATTAAACCAACAAAATATCAGTTTTTACACAACGTAAAGCTTTTAAAAA